GGGAAAGCCAGGGGGTGCAGCCTGTTAAGAACCCGCAGGGGACCCCCAGGGACCAGCAGCAGCTGTTAACACTGGTGGCCGGATGCAGGGAGCCTGTGGGCGTCTGTGCTGGACACTCCCCTCCTCAGCCTCCTCGGCTGCCCTCCCTGATCCCAGAATGTCTGTGGTGAGTGGTCCTGCTTAGGGCTCAAGGTCCGCCCCAGTCTTGTCTCTGTGGTTGCAGATGCCTCTGCGTGCTGACAACTCACATTTATGTCTTCAGCCCAGACTGACCCCCAAAGACATTGGTTTGGTCCCCAGCTCTGGACTCACACACACTGCTCTGTGGACCTCCACCCACTTCCCAACAATAGGCCCCGGATCCTCCCTCCAAACCTCCTGTGCCCAGCCTTCCCCCGAGCAGTGGTGGCAACTGCACCCGGCCAGAAGGCTCAGCTTCCCAGTCTCCCAGTCGGCCACACTCCCGAGCGCCTGGGACTGAGCTGCCCTCCCTCCTCCAGGACCCGCACTCGCCACCGGCAGGGGATGCTTGGGTAGGGGGTTCCTTGCTGCTCTGCTTGAACCTGTGAACCCCAAATATCTGAGACAGGTCTCCTTTAATTTAGAAAGTTTGTTTTGCCAAGGTTGAGGACGTGCCCATGGCTCAGGCTCAGGCGGTCCCGAGGGTATGTGCCCAAGGTGGCCGGAGCACAGTTTGGTTTTACACATTCTAGGGAGACAGGAGACATCTGTCAACATGTGTAAGATGAACATTGGTTCAGCCTGGAAAGGCAGGACAACGCAAAGCAAGGCGGGAAAGACTTGAAGTGGGGGGCGCTTCCCGGTCGCAGGTACATAAGAGACGAAGGTTGCATTTTGCATTCTTTTGAGTTTCTGACTCGCTTCTCCAAAGGAGGCAATCAGATAGGCATTTACCTCAGTGAGCAGAGCGGTGACTTTTTTTCTTTTCTTTCTTACTTTTTTTTTGTGAGACGGAGTCTTACTCTGTCGCCCAGGCCAGTGCAGTGGCGCTATCTCGGCTCACCGCAACCTCTGCCTCCCAGGTTCAAGCGATTCTTCTGCCTCAGCCTCCCGAGTAGCTGGGACTACAGGCACCCGCCACCATGCCCGGCTAGTTTTTGTATTTTTAGTCGAGACGGGGTTTCACCATGTTGGTCAGGATGAAAAAAGCTAACTGTGTAAAGTATTTAAAGAGGTTTGTTCTGAGCCAACTATGACTGACCACGGCTCATGACACAGCCTCCCGAGTTCCTGCAAATGTACCAGAGGTGGCCGGGCTACAGCGTGGTTTTATACATTGTAGGGAGACAGAAGTTACAGGCAAAGACATAGATCAATGCAAGTGTCAACGAAAAGAGTCCAACTCTGTGAAATTTTTTTTTTTTTTTTTTTTTTTTTTTT